TTTTTTTTTTTTTTTTTTTTTTTTTTTTTTTTTTTTGTACTGGGGATCAAACTCAGGTCCTTGCACTTGGGAGTCAGGCGGGGGAACCACTGAGCTAAATCCCTGACCCTCTACTCTGACTTTTACCTTGGATTGAGGATTTAGGGTGAACGATAGTAGGGTTTCTGCCCAGCCTTCTGTGAATCTGTGGTTGTGAAATGTCCCTTACTCTGCCCTCTTCCCTGACTCTCCAGTGAGTCTTAGGAGGATTTGTCTCTACTGGTCCCACCCACCCCAACTCCACCCTCCAACCCAGACTTCTCCTGCAGGTCCATGCTCCTGAAATAAACGCTCGCCGCTGCCGCGACACCCAGCTTTTAGATCCCAGGGGAGCCGGTCATCCTGCTGTAGACCCCAGTCCTCACACACCCTTTCTCAGTGGCTCCTCTATCACCCACACTCATTGCCAAGCGAGGGCAAATAGGAATCAGAGGCTTTTGTTCCTAGAGATGCAGGTGGAGGATGAAGGACTGAGGGTGAAACACCCAGGGGAAGGTTGAGGATGGACCAGAGAGGGACCAAAACTCCCAGGTATTGGCCAGGGATTTAGCTCAATGGCACTGCTCCTGACTCACAGGCCCAAGGTCCCAAGTTCAATCCCCGGTACCAAAAAACAACAAAAACAAAACCAAAAAAAACTTTCAGGGAGGTGGAGGCTGGGGAGAATTGGAAGGATGGACTAAAATGACTCATTGCACTCCCTACTTGCTCCCTTGCTGCCTGCCCTCAGGGTGCTGTGGGACCTTGGACAGGTGACTCTCAGTTCCCTCACCAAGAAGTCCAAATAACAGGTTAGCACCTCCCTCAGTAGGCCATGGTCATGTGAGGGTAATGCCAGAACTGACTCAGGCAAACTCTGGTTCAGCCCACGCAAGTTCACTGATGTCAGCCTCGTGTGTTGGCCACACTTCTAATCCCAGCACTCTGGAGGCTGGGGCCAGAGGAGCTCTGTGAGGTCAAGATCACCTTGGGTTACATAGTGAGTTCAAGGATACCCTAGGCTGAACTATAAGCAAAAAGCAAAACAAAATTAAATTTGCTGATATCTTGCTCCCTGAAATTTCAACTGCAGGCCCAAAGTCCATGCTGCTCTCATTATAATCTTTCACAGATACAACTGATAAAGATTATACCCTTTCTCCCTCCAATCTCTCCCTCCTAGGTCATGGCCCATGGCATGTACCACTAAATGATTATTTTTGATGCTGGGTGAAAGAGCGGCCTGCCAGACAAAATGGCCACAACAGACTTGCATTCTAAAATGGCTGCCATTTCTAACATGGTCCTTGTTCAGGAGAAACAAGCTACCTCCTTACTCCTTCCTGCTGCCCGTGCCATCCCCCGCCTCCAATCACCTGGCACCCTTTTGCTAGCCATGCCATACAACCTATCCTCAATCCCCATGATACTCTCCCACCACACAACCCTTCATCAACCTCATCCAGTTAGTATGCTTGCCCCAACACCATTGTTTGAGATATTCGGTACTTCCTTCTGCCATTAAAGCTGTGCCTCTTTTTCTGCTCATTTTTAAAAATTAATTTTATTGCTACATTTAAGGTATACAATGTAATGGCATTCATCATTGGAAATTTGCACCTTTACATAATCCATCTTGGTTCTTATTTTTTCCCCATTCCCCTGCCCTCCTTCAATACCTCTGCCCTTCCCTATCTACAAAGATTGTTTCCATTTTTTTCCTCCTGTTAATTCCACTCCCATCTTTCTTTTCCCCCACCTTTTCCCCTTCCCCTTCGGCTTTGCAACTTTTCTTCCTATTCCACATAATCAATTATACCTTTTAGTCTTTATTTAATTTTCAGTTTCTTACACTAGAGAAACTCTTTGGTATTTACACATGTGTCTAATTTATTTCACTTAAGAGTGTCGCTGCATTGTGCATTCCTTTACCTATAAATGCCTCCAGTTCCTCATTCTTTATGGCTCAGTAGTACTGCATTTTATTTTTAAAAAACCCACATTTTCTTTATTCAGTCTCCTGTTGATGGGCAGTTGGACTGCTTCCAGGTTTTAGCTACCATGAATTCTGCTGTTATGAACATGGGTGCACATATATGGACATATTCCTAGATACATATAAATTGCCAAAGTTGGGTGAAGATGGAACTAATAATTCTAAATGACCCAATATTGATGAAATTTAAAATGTAATGAAAAACTTATCAACTAAGAAAAGCCTGGGTCCTGATGGCTTCACTGCTGAGTTCTACAAGACATTTAGAAAGGAACTACCACCACTCCTGTTTAAATTCTTCAATGAAATTGAAAGGGAAGCAATACTCCTGAATTCATTCCTGGAAGCAAGTATCACCTTGATCCCCAAAGCAGAGAAAGACCCAACTGAAAAAAAGAATTATAGGCCAATCTCACTAATGAACATAGATGCAAAAACTCCCAAGATACTGGGCTTGTTCTTTCACTGGAGATTAAACTCTGGACCTTGCATTTGCAAGGTAGGTGGCGACACCACTGAGCTAAATCCCTGGCACCCTATGATTTTTTTTAGTGAGCAGTAGTAAAGTCTGTGTAACAATATAGAACATTTTAAAGTTAGGATGGAAAATGCTGAGATACAGACTGCCACACAATCTTCTCACATATCTGAAATTTACCTCTTGGGGATGCAGATGAGAATCAAACACATCCACTTTTTGTTTTGTTTTGTTTTGCTTTATGATCCAGGGTCTTGCTATGTAGTTTAGGTTGGCCTTGAACTCATTATGTAGCTTTGGCTGGCCTCAAACTCATGGAGATCCTCATGCCTCAAAGTGCTGGGATTACAGGCTGACACCACCATGCCAGGCTGATCCACTTCAAAAATATTGCATGGAATGTTGTTGTTTATGAAAAGAACCATATAACTTATCCATTAATACAGCAACAAAGTTGATGATCAATAATTTTAGGGAAGAGAAAGACAGTATCTAAAAACCAGTAAGGGGCCAGGGATTTAGCTCACTGGTTCTGCTGCCTGCCTTGCAAGCACAAGGTCTAGAGTTCAAACCGTGGTACCAAAAATGAAAAAAAAAAAAAAAAAAAAAAAAAAAAAAAAAAAAAAAACCAGAAGTCGTAGTACATGAAGTTTATTCCAGTGTCTAGGAGTGCACCACCAACCCAGTTTATGCCCATTCACTGCAGTTTGTCCCTTACAAATCTTCATTCTCCCTGGAGTCCAAAACTAGGCATTTTCCTGTCTTTGTGTCTTTTTATTTAAAAAAAAATTTTTTTTGCCATGCCAGCCATGGTGGTGTACTCCTGTAATCCCAACCCTCAGGAGACTGAGTCGGGAGGATCAATGCCAGCTCAAGGCCAGCCTGAATTACATAGTGAGACCTCGTCTCAAAAAACAAAGAAAAATAAATTTCTTTTCCCACATGTCTAATCTTACATAAGCTTGTGTTAAGCCAGAATTTTTAATGACAGATTTTACCCCCCAGCAA